AGAAAGAGAGAGAGAGAGAGAGAGAAAATTAGGTTCTAACCTCAAAGTGGAAGAGGGCGAGTAAAAAGCGTTAGTTCGTACGAGGATCGACGAACGAATGGAAGGCTTTCTGGGGTTTTTAGAGGAAATAAGAGAGAGAGAGAGAGAGAAAGAGAAAGAGAGAGAGGGAGAGAGAGAGAAACAGAGAAAGAGTAAAAGATAGATAGAATAGATAGATAGAGATAGAGAGAGTAAGAGGGAGGGAGAGAGAGAGAGAAACGTGTAAGCTTCGGGGAAGGTTCACTATCGGGGGTGGTAGTGGGTCGATAGACGACTGCACGGTACGGGGGTGAGAACGATCAGAGAGAGAGAGAAAGAGAGAGAGAGAGAGAGAGAGAAGGGGGGAGAGCTTTTGCTTCCCCCAGGCCAAGAGGAGAGAGAGCCAGAACTACCGCGCCCCGATATTTCCACCCTTCCTTTTTCTTTCCTATTTTCTATCTTACTCTATCTATCTATCTATTTATCCTTTTCTCACACACCTGCATGAGACAGCAAGAAAGAGAGAAAAAGGGAGAGAGAGAGAGAGAGACAGAGAGAAAGGGAGAGGGAGAGAGAGGGAGTATACAACCCGCGTAGATGCCTATTTTCATTTATCGTCGAACTCGCATACATTACTACTATTACTACTACAACTATTACTACTACTAACTATTACTACTAATATTGCTATTACTAGTACAAGTATTATTATTATTACTACTACTACTACTACTACTAATACTACTACTATTACTACCATCACCATCACCCTCATCCCCACCCACTTTACCACCCCTTTAGGAGAATCCTATTATCGCGTTTAACGCGTAAGAGGGTGCTTCAAGGTCGAAACGAAGCTCCTTTCTTAAGAGACATGTTAACGGAAGAATCGCTACCTTCTTTAAGATTATACGTAATAACATTACTTAAATACAGTCTTGTTTGTCAAACGAGAAATAAAAAAAAAAATGAATAAATAAAAAGAGACAATAAATACTTAATATATAATATAGAAGAGATAATAAATAAATTAAAAAATACAGAGAGAGAGAGAGAGAGAGAGAGAGAAAAGCGAGTAAAAAAAGAGAAGAAAAAAGAAAAGCAGAGAAAGAAATTTTGTAATCAATTTCTTCTTCTTCTTTTTTTTTTTTTCTTTTTTTTTGTAACACTTATCAAATTTTTTTTCGTCTACGCAATGTCTAATAATACTCATCTTCCTTATTTATTTATTATTCTTGATAATGAGAGAGAGAGGGGGGAGACTGGATGAACGTTGATTGCAGATCAGATCACTCTCTCTCTCTCTCTCTCTCTCTCTCTATATATATATATATATATATATATATATATATATATATATATATATATATATATATAATATATATATTTGTGTGTGTATGTGTGTCTGTGTGACTCAAGTATTACTCATCCATGGACTTAGAGACTACTTTTGTTTACGAAACGATACATATCGTTTGTAAGTTTGTTGATAAGATATATATCTATATATATGTATGTATACGAGCAAACGAATGAGCGAGAGAAAGAGAGAGAGAGGGAGAGAAAGAGTAAGAAAGAGATTTCTCACTAAAAACTATTATCTTCGAGATAACTTTGCAAAAATAAATATATATATATATATGTATATTACTCTTAACAAGCCATAGTTTTGAATTTATCCCCCTATCATTTCTAAGATTTTTTTCTAATCGAAAAAGATGAAAAAAAAAAAAAAAAGAAAACAATATCAAAAGATAAAAAAAAAAAAATCATAAGAAAAAAAAAGTAAAAATCATAGAAGACCCGATTAAAATCGAGCACATTTTGCCGCCATTAGTAGAAGAAAAAAAAAAAAAAAAATATAAGAAGAAAAGAAAAAAATGTATCTTTTGTTTCGAAGATACAATTATTTCTTTATTCATTTACTTTCGTTCTTTTTTTTCTTTTGATCTGTTTTATTTTTTTCTAATTTTATTATTTTCTTTTCTTTTCTCTCTCTCTCTCTCTCTCTCTCTCTCTTTTTCTTTTTAGCCTTATTTTCCATCGTCGTCGTCGTCGTCATCGTCGTCGCTCTTTTCTACAAAAGAGAGAACAGTTTACATACCTGGGCGTGTCCCGGTATTGCACGTGCTCGAGAGGAGAGGAGCCCGTTCGATATGTAAAAAAACACTATATCGATTTTCAATGGTGCGATATGCATATAATGCGTGCTTTAAACGTACCTTTAAACGAACCCATATTACCATCGCGTTATCTCATTTTACGATCGCGTTTTTCCTCTCAACGGACCACGTCAAAATATTTATTTTCATTTTCTTTTTCTTTTTACTTTCTCTCTCTCTCTCTCTCTCTCTCTCTCTCTCTCTCTCTCTCTCTCTCTCTCTCTCTCTCTCTCTCTCTCCAACCTATCACAAAAAATTTCCGTTTCTTACATTAACTGATATTTTATTAAACGCGCGTTTCTAATTATAAAGTTCGAAAATTGTGCACTTGCACATATAAAGTTACACATTTTGATCTTCTTATTCTTCTTCTTCTTCTTCTTCTTCTTCTTCATCTTTCTCCTCTTCTTCTTCTTCTTCTTTTTTTTGTCCTTTTTTCCTTTCTTTTTTTCTTTTTTTCTCTTTTTTTTTTTCTTTTTTTTCCTTTCCTTATCACATACTTCCGTTAATTGGAAATTCTCTTACAAAAAGTTTTAAGATTATGTTGCGTTTAACCATAATACCAACGATAACCACAATCTCATTCTATTTCGTTTCGTTCCAATGAATCGACTGTGTTTTTAAATTGAAAATAATATTTGTATATTTATAAAATAAAATGAAATAAAAAAAAAAAAAAAAAAAAGATTGTCACCAACACAATCTCTTTTGTTTTTCATTTCGTTTAATAAAGTTGTAATAAGTTTGCATTATAATATATATGTATGTATAGAGAAGAAAAGAAAGAGGAAAAAAGAGAAGAATCTTAAAAAAAAAAAAAAAGAAGAAAAAAAGAAAAAAAAATATATATATATATATAATGAAATAAAATAAAAAAAAAGAAAAAAAAAACGAATGACTTTGATTAGTTTCTTTACTGAAAAATCTGTTCGAGGAAGGACATGACTGAATTAATGAGAATATGATAATGTTATCGAGAACCCAAGTATATACATATATACATAGACACATACATGTCATGTATGCATATGTATGCATATGTATGCGTGTAAATATATATATATATATATATATATATATACATACATACATGCAGACATAATATATAATTCGCAAGAAGATCATAATGTTTTATCGTATATACATTTTTTATCTCCTTTTATTTCGTATAGGAATGCAAACGTAATTGAGCTCTAATAGAGAATTAAGTATGACGAAGGGATAGTAAATAATTTTATAAGTTGCGTATCGTGTGTGGCGGGGAAGAGGAGAGAGAGAAGGAAGAAAGAGAGAGAGAGATAGAGAGAGAGAGAGAGAGAGAGAGAAAGAAGAAAGAAAGAAAAAAGAAAAAAGAAGAAAAAAAAAGAAAAAAGAAAAATGGAAAAAAGAAAGAAGGCGCATAAAAACGACCGATCGGTAACGACGTGTGTCACACGAGCAAAAACGCAATCATTCTTCTCTCATAATCTCCGTGACAAATTTAATCAATGATAACGTTTATTTCGTAACAATCTTTCGTTACGTGCTAATTAATTCCGATCGATTTTAAAAATTGACGATATCGAAAACTCTCGCGAAAATTTCTCGCACAATATTTGTCATTAAATGCATTTAGGTTGAAGATTTATCATCCTCTTCATCCTACCTCCTTAATCTAAGCTTTCGAAAAAAAAAAGAATAAAAAAAAAAAAAAAAAAAAAAAAAAGAAAAAAGAAACAACGAAAAAACAGAAAGAAAAAGAGAGAAAGTAATAATGAATAGAGAAATGAAATGAGTATCCTCTAAACCAGACGCCATATTGTGCTTTATACAGCATGCTAGCACATTTCGTATCTATATACATATATACATGCATATGTACATACGTACGTATGTACATATATTATATAGTAGCAAGCTACGATGCCAATATTGTATTACATTGTTCGAATTCAACTGAATGACCGCCGATCAAAAATAAATGCCCATGTAACACTGGACTCCCGGACATATTGGAGTTTGGTATACGAACATGAATGACGTGTTATTCAAAAGCGTATTACTCTTTTGAAGAATTACTTTCTATTTTTTTTCTCTTCTTCGCAGGTAGTATTATGCAATCGACAAAACTTCATAAAAAAACATAAACTTTCTTTCCACTTTCTTTTTTTCTTTTGTAGAAAATTTTTATACCAAGTTGATCTGAGATTTCGTACGTGATATAAAAAAAAATCAATTACTTTTTACCGATCAGTTTGTATATCAAAATAACAATAATAATAATAATAATAATGATAATAATAATTTATTTACATTTGTTTTATATTAATTCATCGAGGGAAAGAAAAAAAAGACAAAACAAAACAAAACAAATAAAAAAGAAAAAATAAATATGGACTCCTACCTATCTCGATTCTACTTATCTCAAATTCTCATAATTTATACTTCGTTAATTCTATTCTTAACCTTTTAATTTATTTCTTACCGAGGGGTAAAAAAAAAAAAAAAAAAAAAATAAAAAAAGAGAAAGAGGGAGAGAAAAAAATAGAAAAAAAAAATAAACTTGTAAATTGAAAGATGACAAACGATATGTCTTGTATAATAATTTCTTCGTGGAATAGTTGTAAATTAAGGAAAAGAAAAAGAAAAAGAAGATAAAAAAGACAGACAGACAAAGAGAAGGAGGGAGAGAGAGAGAGAGAGAGAGAGAGAGAGAGAGAGAGAGAGAGAGAGAGAGAGAGAGAGAGAGAGAGAGAGAGAGAGAGAGAGAGAGAGAGAGAGAGAGAGAGAGAGAGAGAGAGGATGAAAAAGAAAAATAATTTGAACAGTTTGTGTATTTACCATTTGTAACTAACTTCGCACGAGTATGACTACCGATAATGACTTGCTTGGAAATTATGTTAATATGACCGGTCAGGTATCGTTTATATACATACATACATAAGTTCTCATGCAAATGTGACAAGTTAAAGCGCCTGTCTTCCCTCTCTCCTGCTCTCTTTTTCTTGCTCCCATACTCCCTTCTCTCTCTCCCTCTCTCTTTCTCTCTCTCACACACACACATAGACACATACACTTTCGAACCATTAACAGCGAAGAGTACGGTGTTTAAGATCAATGAACTTGTGGAGATTTTCAAAAATCTCTCCTTTTAGACTTACATATTAAATATTAAAATAAATCACGAATAAGGATAACACAGTGTATATATATATATATGTATGTATATGTATGTATATATATGTATATATGTATATATAACGCGATCATATGTAGAATATGCGTATAATGTACATAATATAATAGCAGCTCGTTGATTGAACCTAACCTCTAAACTATGTAGTACGTACGTAAGTAACCTATATTGTATCTATGTAAATGTATATATATATATATATATATATATGTAATTGTAATGAACAAAGTGAGCATGCTATATGTTAAATTATTTATGTTAGATAAATGGATTATTCGGCGTGAGCTCGTTTAATGTATATTTTTAATCGTAACGAATATTTTACCGTTTCCTTTCGTTTGATTATTTTTAGATAACCAAAAGCACAAAAATTATTTTGATTATTATATTGTGCGTAATTATCTATCTTTATAATCGTATTTACAAACATACATGTATGTATACATATGTGTATATACATATATATATGAATATGTATATATACATATATATTCATATATATATATATATACGTGTATATACATATGACGAAGGTCGGTGAATTAAATCGATGCGCCAAAGTTACAAGAGAGAGAAAGAGACAGATAGATAGATGGATGGATGGATAGATAGATAAATAGATAGAGAGAGAGAGAAAGAGAGAGAGAGAGAGAGAGAGAGAAACGGACAGAATGTGATCGAGAAAATTATTCCACGTTCGTCGTAACGGCGCTCACGTTTTCATGGCCGGAAGAACAGAGTCCGAGTTAATGCTTCCAACTTATTTCTTTTTTCGTCGCGAAAAAATGACCAACGAGATGAACTGAAAACGAAAATGGAAAAAAAAAAAGCGAAAGAAAGAATTAGAACATAATAATAATAATAATAAAATGGGACCAAAAGTAAATCAGTAAAAAGAGCTTAGAAATTCTTTTGTATGTTACATACGTACTTAATAGGTATTACAATTTTTAGGTTAGGTCCAATCAACTTAGAGAAGAGAGTAAGATTTAATATTCGTATCGATTGAAGTTCGTCGAACAATGATCTCCATTTGGCGGGAATTTTGAAGAGATCGAAAGGATTCAAAAAATTTTCATTAAAGGGAGAGAAATAATAAATAGAGAGAAGAAAAATAAAAAGATAAAATAAAAATAAAAATAAAAATAAAAATTAATAGCTTTGAAAAATATATCGGATATCTATGTGTACGAACATATATATATATATAATATAATATATATATTATATATATTACGTATCATATACACACTCATAGGTATATATTATATAATTCCTATATTTATACATATACACACATACATATATACGTATATACATACATATTACTTTTATATATATATGTATGATATATATATATATGTATATATGAAGAGAATTCGTATCGAGTTTCGTGTCACGCACGGAGAGCGTATACCAGGTAAATATACACGCGCGCCTGCTGAGTACGGTGTTCTTGAGTGAATCACAAGGCCCACAAAGGCGCGCGAAAGTACACCACTTCCCTCGCTTCCCCCACTACTCCTACTTTTACGCCACCTATCAGAAAAACGAAAGAAAAAGAGAAAAAGAGAGAGAGAGAGAGAGAGAGAGAGAGAGAGAGAGAGAGAGAGAGAAACAATACACGCGTAACGAGCTACTACTAGACATCGTATCGTCAACGAAAAAAAAAAAAAATGATTTTCACGTTGAAAAATATTCTCTGTTTGATTAGAAGTACGTGTTTGAGAAAGAAAGAGAGAGAGAAAACGGAAGAAATGTATCGCATTACCGATTTTTCTAACAGCGCCATCACGTGATTACTACGCGATATTTTATATATATATATATATATATACATACTATGTGTTAGCTTTGAACATGAATATACAGCGTGTCCCATTAGAATCGATTCACACAATGAAATGATTAGATATATCGAGTATGATTTACAAACTTCTAAAAGTCGATTTTGAAAATGACAAAATTGTGAATGGTCCATTGTCGAGGGATTGAATTGTAGATAAATTGTCAATAATAATAAGTCTTATTGAGATCAACCAATCAGAATCAAACCTAATCGGGGAATGATCCTTACGATCAAATGTTTCTTAATTTTAAACGAACTATCATTTTACGAAGATACAAACGGCTAATCGAATAATTTCTTAAATTATAAACTTTCATAAAGAATCCATTAAATAATTTCGAAAATTATAAGATCATTATCATAATAGAATGAAGATTCTGAAATGTAAATTGTGATTGGTCAGTGCTTATAATCTTATCGATAATAACCAATAAGAGAATCGGTCATATATAAAAAATTATCAACACATTTTATATTCAATATTCAAAGATATAAATAGCGTGCTATTAATGATCTTAAAATGTGCATGCTTCAATATTTATTTAACTAATAATCATGATGAAGATGCATTATTATAAGAAGTATCAAAGATTTCTTAGGTCTTGGAAATTATTTAAAAAGAAAAAAAAGAAAAAAAAAAATGAACAATAAAAACAAAATCTAACTTAACCTAAATCTAATTCATAAATCAAAATCAAACAGAACATATATTCCAAAGTCTATAATAATAATTCTAACGAAAATCAACGAAAACGTAATTATATATAAAATTTGTTATCTGTTATCTCTAATTACATAATTTAATACATAGTTTTAATGCACATCCCTATTACAAAATTTAATTACATACACAAGGCTGTACATAATTAAATATACGTATAAATTAAATAAAATAAAAAAAAAAGAAATAAATAAATAAATAAATAAAAATAAAAATAAAAATAAAAATAAAAAAAAAGTAATCATCCTTCCGTCACAATCTCCTTAAAAGTATTTAGTAAACGTGAAAAAAGAAAAAGAAGAATGAGAGTTAGTAATGGAACAGGAGAAATACATAAAATAAATTAATTAATTAATCAATAAATTAATTAATTAATTAATTAATTAATTAAAATCTTTACGTTCGAAATTTGGAATCGGTTGGTGTAAACCGCGCCGGCCGGGCCGGCTCGACTACGATCGCGTTCGATCGGAGTCTCGCGTACGAGGCGAAACGTACGCGTATAGTGGAGAGGAGAGGTGTGGTGAGGTGAGGTGCAGAGAGGAGAGGAGAGGAAAGGAGAGACTGGAGAGGAGAGGAGAAGAGAGGAGTAAAGTGATGTGGAGGGGAGAGGAGAAGAGAGGGGAACGGAGAGGCGAGGGACGGGGAGAGGGAGTAAGTACGACACGAAGAAGAGCGAGCACGAACGAGCTAGCGAGTGAATGTGAGAGAGAGACAGAGAGAGAGACAGAGGGGGAAAAAGGGAGGATAAGAGAAGGGAAGAGGAGGGAGGGCCACTTCGTCGATCGTCGCACTTTACGGTACGTATGAATGAAACGAAACGATCTTTCGAAAGTCGCGGAGGATGTGGTTGCTCGTGTATCGCTTAACGAGAAATAGAAAAATAGAGAAATAGAAATAGAAAGAGAGAGAGGAAGAGAAAGAGAACGTAGTAGTTAAAGAGAGTAATATAGATAATATATATATATATATAAAGATAGACAGATAGATAGAGATAGAGATAGAGATAGAGATAGGTGTTCCAAGAATTCGTCGAGCCGTGGCGCGAGCGTCGTGGCGCGGCCACGGGTTCCGAAGAGAGAGAGAGAGAGAGAGAGAGAGAGAGAGAGAGAGAGAGAGAGAGAGAGAAAAGAAAGAAGGAAAAAAGAAGAAAAAAGGGAAAAAAGAAAACGACTTAAAAAAGCTCTCGGTATACTCGGAACTATGAAAGAGTCAAAGAGACGTAGATAGATAGATAAAGAGAGAGGTAGGGAGAAGACAGACAGAGAGAAAGAGAGAGAGAGAGAGAGAGAGAGAGAGAGAGAGAGAGAGAGAGAGAGAGAGAGAGAGAGAGAGAGAGAGCTGGGCGGTGAAGAAGGAGAAGAGAGGGGAGGAAACGGTAGGTTCGGTCGAAGTCGTCGAAGTGACGACGCCTTTCCATCGGTCCTCTCGTCGCACGCGCCGACGATAAACGGAAGAAGAAGAAGAAGAAAAAGAAGAAGAAGAGGGAGGGTTAGGTACGGAATATTCGAAATTCCACGAGAGTTATCTATCGTGAGTAAATTCGCGGACGAAACAAAGAAGAAGAAAAAAGAGAATAAAAAATATAACTTACCGAGTAATAAAAGCTTAAGTTCTCTCCTTGCATCTCGTTTATCCCTACGTAGTTGCCTCTCGATCTCCTGGTTGATACGCTTTTGCTCTTTCGCCTCTTCCGACAGGCAGCACGCCATGGCTCAGGACAGCGGGATCCTCCGTTAAAGGAGGAAGAAAAGAAGAGAGGGGACGAGGGAGGGAAGGAAAGAAGGAAGGAAGGAAGGAAGGAAGGAAGGAAGGAAGGAAGAAAGGTGGGTTGGTGGGTGGTTGGATAGATGAGTTGGTTGGGAGTTAGGTAGGTAGGTAGGTAGGTAAGTATAGATAGGGAGAGAAGCTGAGTGTATAATAGGAGTTATAGGAGGAGAGAACGAAAGGAAAAGAGAGGGAGAGAGAGATGGAGAACGAATGAGGGGGTGAGAGTTGGTTGTCGGAGTAGTGCAGGGGAAGGGCGGGGGAAGAGAGAGAAAGAAAGAAAGAAAGGAAGGAACTACTATTCGTAAAGCGGCAAGAAACGCCGGCCGAACGCCGACTGTCGTCGCGACGACAACGACGACGACAAGGAGGACGATAAGGACAACGACGATGAGGAATATAACGAGAAAGAGTTAAAGA